CAGGAAAGAAACAGTGTTTTTCTCCATTGATAGCAATTTGATCAGGTAGATCTCTTAGCTCAGTCATTAGCCAAGAAACGCATCAGAGCACACCATTTCCAGTAGAGGCAAGGTCCTAGCTTGGCCTCGTTAAACTATTTTCTGATGTCATTCTTGAAAGTAACCTTTTCTTAAAATGGAACAGAAAAATTAGCATTTGGCACATCAAAACCTGAACAGTCTTAAAGTTCTCTTTCCTTCTTCTTCTTACGGTCTGTTTCACCCCAAATCATTCTGACTTCTGTATTTTACAAGGAATGATCTGGAATGATTTGCTGCACTGGCTGATAGGGCAGGAAGGAGCAGCAGGATCAGATGTGAACACCAGAAACCTTGGCCCTTTCCTGCCTCTGCTAATGAGCAGCTCCAGGCAACTTCCCTGATCCTTGTCCAGGCTCATATCCTAGCAAACACTGCTCTCCTGGCCTGGGTTGTCCCTGACCCAGCCTGTGAAAGTCCAGGAGGTTTGGACATGGGTGTGGGGCATAGAGCTGGCTGTGCTTTTAGTGCTGCCCAAAGAGCTGCTTCCTTTATTTTAAAATTCACGGTCCTGATCTTTGAACAGGAGTGTGTAACCCTGGGGCTCCTTTCCTCAGGGTCATCACTTCCTTGCCAGAGCTTTGGGCTAATGTGTTTAAAGAAACACAAGGTTTTACAGAGCCCAAGGCCAAGCAAAACACTTCAGCCCTCTGCCTGTCTCCCTCTCCGCAGTAAAACACAATGTGGGCTCTTCACAGCAGGCTCAGGGAGAAAAGCCAGTCTATTTCTTTGTCTCTCTGGTGTGTGTGGCACCAGGCTCTGCCAGACCACGAGACAAACGCTGGCAGCCATTGAACTGGGAGAAAAAAGTAATGAAAGGAGAGGAATTCGAGTGGGAGGGGGAAGAAGCTGCTTCTGCCTCCGCAGGGCTATGCTCACAGTCCCAGCACACAGAGCAGCGTTGCAGAGAGCAGGTTCCCTGGCTCTGTGTGGTGGTTGCTGTGTCCGTTTCTGAACCCCCAAACACAGCAGCCAGAGATGAGCTAGGGTCCTCATGGGAGGCCTCGAACAATGCCTAGAAGCAGAAACACCGGGACACGTCTGGGTATTGGACTGGTGCTTGTTGATGTTGTCAGAGGGAGATGATGGTCCCCATTTAGTGCCCCGCACATAGGTCCAGGACATCCGAGGGGTTGTGTCTGCCCCAGGAGGGACCACTGGGCCCTGCACCATCTCTGCCAGTCCTGTGTAAATGTCACCTCTGCCCCTGCCTGAGGATGACGAGAGACTGGGCAGGCTCCATGGCATGAGCAGTGGATCTTTTTTGCCTCCACCGAACAGACTCACAAGGTTTAGATGGTCCCTCCCTTTCAGGAACCACAGGCAAAGGTAGCTTTACATCCACCTTCATCTCATAAATCCCAGGCTCTGGCTAACTGCCTTTTCCCCCTGTCCCTTCGTTCCTTGACTGTCCTCCCAGCACAACTATACACTAGGGTTGCAGAGGAGCCAATCTGAACTTTGCTGCTGGCCCACCAGGTGCTGTCATCTTGGCAGTTTTTGTGACCCCTTAAGAAAACA